ACACAACCCCCCCCCCCACCCCCCCCCACCAGGGTTGGTGGCCCGGCTGGACGACAACAACCTCGGTCGGCGAGGCGTATCTGTCCTGTGTCAGGCCTGGATCAAGAGGGCCCAGCGGTGGGATGCCGTGGACGTTTACAGTCAGTTGCGCTGTCTACACGACGGGAGGTAGCGGAGATATGCGGCGCCTGACGTTCCCAGTGTCTCGAACGCCGTTCGGCGAGGAGTGGGGGGGGGGGGAAACCCGCCGGTCAGCGTCGCGTTACGGCTTAACCAGGTTTCTGACAGGCGATGCAGGCCGAACTGCTTTGAGCGGCCCGCGCGCTTCTGGGGAAACCACGCCGGATAGCACCTGCCCGCCGACTGTGAGTTGGGCGCTCCGGCGGTATGAAGAAACTGTACACGCCGTGCGGCCCGGCCTTCCACGCTACCCGCCGAAACATTCAGCAAATAAACGGCGTAAGGAAGTCATACCAGCTCAGTACCACGGGTTCGTCTGCGGCGGGCCACGGTTTCGCGTCCAGAAAATTGGCCGGGTCGCCAGACTTGCTGAACTCCGCCGCGATCACCGGCAAACCAACGTATGCGAAACTATGGGAACAGCAAGGTTTCGATTTCCTGCTGCAATATTCGGGTCAGCGCGTGTTGTCCGAATAGACGCGGATCGGGTTTTGGTTTAAAAGTCTTCGCTCTTCAAAAACAGCACGTGGCCGGCGCCGGCTGGCGACCACAACAGCGCCAATGAATGGAAGGGTCGTGTTGGGCCCACGGTGGAAGCCGACAGGCGAATGAACGAGTTTTCTCGGTTAGGCAAATTGATTGGGGTCTACTGGACTGGTCATGCCGTGCTTGGCCTCCCGTGGTCGTGTTGGTTGTGACGCCGTGTCTGGATGGACTAGGCCAGGCCGTCGGCAGCCGCTCGCATGGTTTTGAGGTAGTCTGCGCTGGCGGATTGCAGCAAGCGCCCGACAGTGTTGTGGAAGTAGCGCACTCCCAGCTCCAGATAGTGGGGAACCAGGTTATCGGGGCAGCTGCAACCGGCGATGATGCCAGACGCTGCAATCTGCTGCACGCCTTTCTCGACGAGAGCCTGCACTTCGGGGTGGGTTTGCTGTCCCGGATAGCCCATGCTTTGGGAAAGGTCGCCGGCCCCGATGAAGTAAACGTCAACGCCGGCAACTTTCACCAGTTCGGGGATATTTTCGATGGCTTCAACTCTTCAGCATCAGACAAACCAGTGTGTTGCGATTGGCGTCGGCTACGTATTCTGGCGTCGCGCCGCTGAATCCGTATTCCGCAGGGCGGCCACCGCTGAACAGGCCCCGCTCGCCTTCTGGGTAGTATTTGACCGCTGACACCGCAGCCCTGGCTTCGTCGGCGGTGTTGACGTGGGGCACCTGCACGCCCCAGGCTCCCCGGTCCAGGAAGGGCGCGATAATCTCGGGGCGGTTCCCCACGGGTCGCACGATAGGAGCGGTGCCAGAGTACTCGGCAGCTCGGATCATGTCCTCAGCCACGTCAACGGTGATGCTGCCGTGCTCGTTATCGATGAGTACCCAGTCATAGCCTAGGAAGCCCAACATTTCCACCACCGCCGGAGATGGAAAGGTGATCATGGAGCCGAAAACGGGGTCGCCCGCCTGCAGTTTTTGTTTCAGCGTATTTTCGCGCATGGTATGCCCCCACAGAATGTTTCGCGAATGCTATGCCCCTTCGGGGTGGCAGTCAACACTGCCGGCGTTTCAGTGGCGGTTGTCGCGGGTAGCAAGGGTTATCCCGCCACCAGCAGGACAACGACGTCACGCGTACCCACTTTAATCTGTCATTGGCAGGAGCCCGGCGTAAATCTGTCATTGCGAGGAGCATAGCGACGTGACAATCTCGATGAGATTGAACACACGTCGGCGAACCGCCGTTGCTACGGCGACGAGATTGCCACGCTACGCTCGCAATGACAAAGTGGGTATGCATGGAAAGTGGGTACGCATGATGGGCAACGATACCTGACGACCGCACCGAAAACGTCTATAATCCATTCGAACTGCGGCTGCCTCAGCGTTGGCGAAGGTGGTGGTGGTCAATGGGACAGGAGCGAATCCGATATGGCAGTACGAGTTCTGGACGTTCACGCGCACATTACGCCAGCCAGCGCCTTGCGCGCCATGCAGAGCGGGGAAAACTGGTTCGGCGTAACCGCGCCGGCCCTCTACAATCAGCATCGCTACAACCCGCGCACGTTCTGGACGCCGGAACAGCGCATCGCCGACATGAGGTCGCTGGGCGTTGACGTCCACGTGCTGTCCACCAACGCCAATATGTACTTCTATGACCTGGACACCGCGCAGACAATGGATATGCACCGGGAGTGCAATGACTACGTGGCCCAATTGACCGAGGAGTATAGCCGGAACAGTTCGCCGGGCTGGCCAACCTGCCCATGCAGGATGTGGGAGCAGCCATCGAAGAGTTGACACGTGCGGTGGAAGAGCTGGGGCTCAAGGGCGCCATGATTGGCGACCACGTGAACGGACGAACCTTCGACGACCCGGTGTTCAATCCCTTGTGGGCCACCGCAGAACGGCTGGGCGCCATGTTCCTGATCCACCAGGGCGGCGACACCACCGTGTCGCCGCGATTGAGCCGGTACCACCTGCCCAACACCATTGGCAACCTGGCTGACCGCACGGTTACCTTTGCGGCCTTCGTGTTCGGCGGCGTGATGGACCGTTACCCCAACCTGAATATCTGCCTGTGCAACGGCGGGGGTTATGCCTGTTTCGGCGCCGGACGGATGGATCGGGGCTGGCAGGTGCGTCCCGAGGCGCGGGCCAACATCGACCAGCCACCCAGCTCGTATCTGAATCGTTTCTACTACGCGGTATAAAGGGAATAGATAGAGAGAAAGAAGGAAGGGTTGTGAAAAGGGAACGATGGGAAAGGGGACAGGTAAAGAAAGCAAGGGACTGCCTGACCCACAGCGAAGAGGCTTTGCGAATGCTGATTGACATGGCCGGCATCGAGCAGATCGTATTCGGCACTGACTGGCCGTTCGATATGTGCGCCGACTGGCCGGTGTCGTGGCTACTGGGCCTGAAAAGCCTGACGCGCGACGAAAAGGACGCCATCCTGTTCGCCAATCTGGAAAGACTGCTGGGCATCTGATGCTCGCCTTGAGCCAAACACTAAATCGCTGATTACCAAATTGCAGGAGGACACACATGGGACTGAACGCTGACAACATTCGACTCAAGGCCATCAACCACATCACCTACAACGTGCGGGACAAAGATGCGGCCCTGAAGTGGTATCAAGAAGTGCTGGGAGTTAAGCAGATTCCCTCAATGGTAAACAACGATAACCTGTACTGGCTCCAGCTGCCCAGCGGCGCAATGGTTCACATCATCGAGAACCCTGACGCTCCGTCCGCTCCGTCGCACCACACCGCCTTCGAGGTTGACGAAATCGCAGCGGCCCGCGAGGAACTGCTGAGTATCGGCGTGGAGTGCACCGACATCCAAACCCGTAACGATGGTCAGCAGGCGTTCTACTTCCACGACCCGGACCACAATCGCCTGGAAATCTGCACCAAGTCCGGTTTTGGCGTTCTGGTGTAGCATCCGTCACCCCGCCCCGGCCCACCGGAGACGGGTCGCCGCCGCGCACCGCGATCAAGGTCGTCCCCAAAAGCAGACAGCCGTTGTCTTGCAGAAGTCGTCCGGACTGCTAACCCGGAGGCGGCTTACGGTCGGCCCATCGAATAGCGATTCAGGATGCCAAGGTAGGCGCGCTGGCCCTCGGAAGCGATGGCGGTGCGGTCTGACATATATTCCGCCCATAAGGACCGAGTGAGTGCGGTGGCTTTAGCTGCCGGCGTTTTCGGATTGGCCGGGTCCAGCGAGGCCAATCCCAACATTCGCGCCGCGATGGATCGGGGTGTGCGTTCCAGGGCTTCCGCCAGAGCCAGTGCCTCCCGGCTCTCCGGTAGCACCTTACCTCGATAGAGGTGCAGCACCGCCAATTCTTCCGTTCGGGTCCATTTGCGCGGGGGAGGCATCGCAATCTCCTGCTGGTTCATTGCAAACTGCCCCTCCTCCTGAGAGGAGAGGCAGTCGACGTTGGTTGATTAGAGGTTGGTCGACGCTGCGATGCCTAACGCCCGTCCAGTATGAACTCGGCAACCCGCTCGCCGATGGTCATGGAGGTTACGTTGGTATTCGCGCGGATGCAGTCGGGCATGATGCTGGCATCAGCAACCCGCAGGTTTTCGATGCCTTTCACCTTGCCGAACTGGTCGACAACGGCCATTGGGTCACCGTCCGGTCCCATCTTGCAGGTGCCGGAAATGTGCTGCGACGTGGTGACTTCCTGAGCAATCCAGGCGTCCAGCGCAGCGTCGCTGGTCAAAGCATCGTCAGGCGGCTCGGTTCGCTCCTGGATTATTGTTTCGAGCTCCGGATGCTCAGCCAGTTGCAGGCACAGTCGCACGGAATCCCGCAACCGAACTCGGTCTGATTCTTCCTTCAGGTAGTTGTAGTCCAGGAACGGCTGTTGGTAGGGGTCGGTAGACTGTAGCCGCATATGCCCGGCGCCCTCGGCCAGCTGGATGCCGGCCGTCATCCGAATCCCCAGCGGAACCATACGGTCGCCGCCCTTATTGATTCGCTCGGTGGCGAAAGACTGCATACTGATTTTCATGTCGTTACGCAACTGCGAACCTTCGGCGGTGTAGCGCAAACTCAATTGAGAGCGCGGCGCGAAACCGTCGAGTTCAAAATCGGGTATGGTTCGCCAGGTGCACCACACTGTGGGATGGTCGCGCAGGTTCTGTCCCACGCCCGGTGCGTCCTGAACCACCGGTATCCCAATTTCACGCAGGTGGGCGGCCGGCCCAACGCCCGAGAGCATCAGAATGTGCGGCGAACCGATGGCTCCGCTGCTCAGGACGATCTGGTCGCCTTCGGCCTCGAACGTCTCTCCACCCGACTCCAGACGTACCCCGGTAGCCTTGTTCCCGTCGAACAGGATGCGATGCACGTGGCAATTCGCCTTGATGGTCAGGTTGAGCCGGTGCCGCGATTCCGACAGATAGCCCAGGTTGGTACTCATGCGGATGCCGTTGGGGTTGTTGAAGGGGGTCGGCCCCACGCCGTAAGAGTCGGGGTGGTTGTGGTCCCAGGTTTCCGGGAAACCGGCGGATACGCAGGCTGCGCTAAAGGCGTTCTGCGCCGGCAGCCAGGTCTCGCGGGCAAACCGGTGCATGACGATGGGTCCTTCTCCGCCATGAAAATCGTCGTTGCCGTAATCAGTGTCCGTTTCGATCCGCCGGAAGATTGGGAGCAGCTTGGTGTATCCCCATTCTTCGTTGCCCATCGCGGCCCAACCGTCGTAGTCCTCGGGCACGCCGCGCAGGAACACTTGACCGTTGATGGCGCTGGAACCGCCGGTAACCTTGCCCCGTGGTACCATGATTTCGTGTGAAGTGTCGGTGCCCTTGCCCACAAATTGCCAGTTGTGGTCGCTGACCATAATATCAATCTCGGTGTTGTAACCGAACTTGACCTCCTCCGGCAGATTTTCGAACTCCGGATAATCCGGGCCGGCTTCAATCAGCAGGACATTCTTGCTGTGATCTTCGGTCAGCCTACTCGCGATAATGGAACCCGCCGAACCGGCCCCGATCACAATGTAATCGTACTTCATAACAACTGTGCTCCTTGTGCCATTGCGCCGCGTGTGTCGCGATCCGATCTTGCCGCGACGGGGGCTAGTGGGATCGATGCCGTAGTTTACACGGCCATAATATACAGGGCACGGATATGCCGCAAGGGGATGCCCTACGAATGGTGAACCCACACCCCGTTGCTGAACTAGTGCATCACCAGCCCACCATCCACGTTGATAGTTTGTCCGGTGATGTTGCGCGCGCCCGGACTGGCCAGGAAGGCAGCCATTGCCGCAATGTCTTCCGGATCGTTGGCGCGGCCAATGGGTATGTTGGTTGCCCGTTGGGCTTGCAGTTCTGCCACCGATATGCCCCGTTCGGCGGCACGCTGCTCCATCGTCGCGGTGGCCATCGCTGTAATGGTCGAGCCGGGACAGATGGCGTTCACGTTGATGTCGTGGCGCGCCAGTTGATGGGCGGCGATCAACGTCATGGATATTACCGCGCCCTTACTGGCGGCATAGGCTGCGTTGGACGTGCCAGAGTAGCCCTTGCCGGCGATTGAGGCGATGTTGACGATGCGTCCTCCGCTACCTTGCGCAATCATCTGTCGGGCGGTTTTCTGCATCACGAAAAATGCGCCTCGCGCGTTCACACGGTGAATGCGATCCCAGTCAGCTTCGGTAATGTCCATAATGTCCAGGAAGCGGGTTACGCCGGCGTTGTTAACCAGTATGTCGATGTGCCCCAAGGCGCTCACCGTGTCGGCGATAACCCGGTCGATGTTGTCGCCATCCCCGATATCGGCGGCGATGGCTACGCTGTTGCGGCCAGCGGCCCGAACGTCCGTTGCCGTTTCTTCTACATTGTCGGCCATGATGTCGGTCACAGCCACATCTGCGCCGTCGGCGGCCAGGGCCAAAGCGGTAGCGCGACCCATACCACGGCCGGCGCCGGTAACCAGGGCTACTTTTCCATCCAGAGACATAGCGGGTTCCTCCCTAATTGGTTGTGGGGTTTCATGCTCCAGCAGACAATCGAGTGTTGGAGCACCTGGAGCACAAGGGTGGATTTAGTGAGGATTCTCCCCGGACGCTGCACTTGCGGCCAATCATATAGACGCGTGTGATCTCGATGCACTCTCTACAACGCCTGCAGCAATTCCTGATAGTTTTCGCCACCGGTGCGTCGCAACCGGTTATCATCCAGCACTTCCAGGTCTCCGGTGTCTTGCAGCAATTCGACGTGGGCCACCACTTCGGTCAGCGCGGCGAAGAAGTTGCCCCCTTCCAGTTTGCGCTGTTCAAATGTCAAACGCGTTACGTCTTCCAGGGGCTGTGGCTCCGGACCGGCGGTTACCAGGATTCGGCCCAGGCGCCGCGCGTGGAACCGGATAATGTCGGCGGCCCGTTGCGTGGTCTGGAAGTTGAACTTGTGGTTGTTGTACAGGCGGTGCGCCGGCAACACGGCCACTTCCGGACCCAAATCGGCAACGCGTTGCAACGACCGCAGGTAGGTAAGCAGGCCATACGAGTCCCCTGGATCCTGATAGTGGGACGGCAGATTGTTCCTTACCTCGTTCGGGTACTCGGTTTTCATCGTGGGGTGCGGACTGATTTCAGGCAGAACGTGGTCTCCGGTAAACACCACACCGCCCAGCGTCGCGCAAATCTCGTCCGGCGAATGACCGGGGGCGTGCATATAGCGCAATTCTCCCTGCTGCTCGCCGGCGGCGATATGATGCCCCACGTGGTGAGTTTTCCGGGAGGCCATATACCGGTTGCGTTCGTCACTGTCGGAGGGACTGAAGCCGTTGGCCCGCGCCGTTTCCCACATCGCCGCTTTGATGGCGGAGCTGGCCGACATCTGCAAGTCGCGCGGATCGAACGTCAGCAGAGGCTGATAGATGTCGTGAGCCCAGAGTTCCGCGCACGACGTTTCCATCAACCGCGCTACGCCGTCATCATGATCGGCGTGTCCGTGGGTGATTACGACCCGCTCCACATCGGCCGGTTCCAAACCGAACAGTCCCATGCCCGATTGCAGCAGGTCAAATGAGAAAGCGGCGCCCGGGTCGATCAGGGTGAGCCCCTCGTTCTCAAAGATGTACGCCCAGGTGGGTCCCGTATGCGAATGGCCTTCCTGCGGCACCGCCACAGTGTGGATGCGACGACCCTGGGGGTCGGTGAGGCCCAGCACCATGCCGTTGCCGGCTGAGTCTCCGTTGCGCAGGACGTCAATCTCCGTGAAATAATCGGCCATCGCGAATCGCCTCCCGGCAGCGTACAGTGTCCAGTTTGCCAAGTTTCAACGCAGTATTATAACCCGTGGCCCCAATCGCCGCAGCACCGGCCGCCCCGTCAGTGGCCACGCCCTCCCCCCCTTCTTCCCCCCCTTCTCCTAGCGACGTTCCATGTTGCCCTCCGTAAAATGTGGCCACCGTATTTGTAACATGCGTCATTCAGTCCCGAGCCGGCATACAGACATGGTCGGCTGCCAGCGTCCGTTCCTGCAGTGCAGTGGTCTCGGGATCCAGCGCTTTATCGAACGTGGCGCGCGCGCAACCGAAACCCTGGGCGTCATAGTGCAGTGCCTCGTGCTCTCCAAGGAAATACTGGGTCGGACGGGTAGTTGCTATAATGCGGTTGATACCCACCAGGCACGGTTTAAGCAGGAGGTTGCGCGATGCGGTTGGAAGGCAAGGTGGCACTGATTAGCGGGGCGGCCAGTGGCGTGGACGGCGAGTTGATGGGATTCGGCGGCGCGGCGGCTCGCATGTTTTGCAACGAGGGCGCCAGGTATTTCTGGGAGACATCAACACCGAGGGCGGCGAACGCACCGCAGCGCAACTCCGGGCGGCCGGCGGCGACGCGACCTTCGTCAAGCTTGACGTTACGAATGAACAGGATTGGATTGACGCAGTGGCTGCCACCGTGTCGGCTTACGGCAAGCTCAACGTGCTGGTCAACAACGCCGGAACCAGTGCCAGATCCACAGTCGAAGAGACTACCGAAGAGGCCTGGGACGGCCAGAGCGACGTGCACGCGAAAAGCACGTTCCTGGGCACCAAGCACGCCATCCCCGAAATGCTCAAGGAAGGCAGCGGCTCCAATAATCAACATCTCGTCGATTTACGGCATTGTTGGCAGTCCCACCTCCACGGCTTATCACGCCGCCAAGGGCGCAATTCGGCTGTTCACCAAGTCAGCGGCACTTCAGTACGCCGCCGACAACATCAGGATCAATTCAATCCACCCCGGTTATTGCCACACTCCCCTGACCACTCGGAGTTATGATAACGAACGGCATTTCGCATGGATTCAGGAGCGCATACCCATCGGTCGAGCAACGCCATGACATCGCCTACGTATAGAGTTTGTCCGGCCTCGATGAATCTTCGTTTATGACCGGGTCCGAGTTGGTGATCGACGGCGGTACCACGGCGCAGTAGTGCCCTGACCGAAGTAGGACGCATCATGGCGGCATCGAAAGATCGAGTTTTGCTCAAGCAGGATGGCGTGCTGGTTACCTATGAACGCTTTGTGGAACCCGAGGGCCGGGAATACCGCATCGAGGATATCCAGTCGGTGGAGATGCAGGTTGTGGAGGAGGAATCGGAGCGCCCGCCGATTCGGTGGTTTCGCACCGTTGCCGGCTCTGCGGTAATCGGTGCAGCTTTGGCGCTGGTGGTGGCTTTCAGGGGCCTTGGCTAACGGCCGGCATCATGGTTGTGCTGGTGGCAGTGGCGATAGTCTGGTGGGGTAACCGCATCCGCTCCAATAAATTCAAGGTCTATCACGTTGTCGTCACGCTGCTGCCCCGCCGGGAAAATCAGCAGGAGCACCGAATTATCTCCACCACCAGCCGCGTATTCGGCGAACGCCTGCAGGTAGTTCTGAAACGGGCCATGATAGAGCGCCCGGCCCGCTACGAAATTCCATAGCGTTCCCCAGGCAGGGCCCTTTCGATCCTTGGAACGTCGCGGCCAAGGTGAGTTTGCGACGCGTTGGTCGATACGGGCTACGAGATTTCCGCGCTGCGCTCTGCAATGACATTGGGGGACAATCGAAAGACCCTGGTTCCCCAGGGGGGGTGGAGGGGGGGGTGGGTTGGTGGTCTTTCCGCAAAATCGGTGGCCGCGAATCGGTGTGTACTCTACCGTGCTCACGTCACCGTGCTCACGTCGATGACTACCTTGCCCACCGTGGCGGCGCGCACGGCCTCGTGCGCCCCGGCGGTGTCGGCCAGCGGGAAGTGCGGCCCATCCATCCCCACCAGTTGACCATCGGCGAGCCATTGGTTCGTGTCGTTGACGGCGGCAGTTTTCGCAGCCTCCGGCATGTCGTACACCAACACATGGCGGACATTGACGTTGCTGACGGGGAAGTCAAACCGGGGCGCCGGCCCGTCTCCGCCGGCGTAAATGGCAATGCTGCCGCTCCGCTTGATTACCTGCCGACTTACGGCGAAATTGCCGGAGTAGTCGACCTCCACAATCAGGTCAACACCTGCTCCGTCGGTGATTTCGAGAATTCGTGCCGCCGTGTCTTCGGTGCGGTAGTTGACGGTGAAGTTTGCTCCGGCCTCCCGAGCGATATCCGCCTTGGCATCTCCGCTGACCGTGCTGATGATGCGGACCGCGCCGCCAATCCTGGCCATCTCCAACGCCATATTACCCACTGCGCCGGCCCCGCGCGGCACCAGCACCGTTTTGCCGGTTACCGGCCCGTCGGCGAAAACACAGCGATGGGCCGTCATTGCGGGCACACCCAACCCGGCGGCCAGGGTAAAATCGACGTTTTCCGGCAGCGGTACGGCGCGAATCGCGGGCTGCACGGTTAATTCGGCTGCGGTTCCAAACGGTTGCCCAATTTGAGACTGGTACAGCCACACCCGTTCACCGATGCGGCTGGCGGGAACCCCGTCGCCCACCTGGTCGATAATCCCGGCTCCATCCTGATTTGGGATGATTCTGGGGAAGTTGATCCGGGCAGTGGACCCTGCCGCCGCTTCCAGTCGCGAGGTGTTTCCGCCGGAGGTGACTCGCACGCGCAACATTCTCATCACCGGGCCGGGTACCGGTCGGGCATCACTCTCCCCACCCTCGCAAACCGACGCATCTGGAGCTCCGTGTTTCTTCATACGCAAAACACGCCGCATGACAATCCCTCCGGTTTTGCTCACCAAATCGCGCCGAATACGGCATCGCGAGGCTCGAATGTAATGCGGTAGCGGACGCCGTGTCAAACCGCGCACGCCTGGTCAACTGGCGCTGGCCGTTATTCCCGGCGGCGGCGGATTGCCAGAAGCGAACCCAACCCGACCGGCAGCGTGAGCAGCGCCAATGCTGACAGCTCGATACCGGCATGAGAACCCTCCACCGGAGCATAGCACCCTGCGGCGGGTGTCGGAAGATCCGTTGTGGTCAGAGTTGGCGGCGGCGAAGTGTAGGTTGGCGCTACCTGTGCCACCGGCGGCGGGGTGGCCGTCGCTGACTCGTTAGCCGCCGGCGGGATGGCCGTTGGAGAACCACCATTGGGCCGGCTGGTGGCGGGCACTTGCAAGGGCGGCAGGGCCGGGGTAGCCAGCGACGCGACCGGCAACCCCACTGATTGCCTCCACTGGTTGTCGAGCTCGTGGATGGTCAGTTCGTAAACTGCTGCCACGGCTTTTTCCGTGCTGCGTAGGGTTCGCAGCACGGCGAACAGGTCGGCCATCGCGTTCGGGCCGTAGGTATCGAGCATGAACGAGACTACCGAGTAGCCCTGGCCGTAGTTGCGGAGGGTCTCGTCGGGAGTACCGGCGAAGGTTGCCAGTCCGGTGAGCGGTGGCACATCGTTGCGCTGGATTGCGCGGGCGATGTAACGGTTGAATTCGCTGTCCGGATCGCGCTCGGAATATACTGCCAGACCCTCGTTCAACCAGGAGTCAACGCCGGTGTAGGCAGAGCCGGCAGCATCGGCCACCAGGAGGTGCGTGAATTCGTGGGCTGCGGTGGACAGGATGTTGCTCAATGACCCATCCACCAACAGGGTGCGCTCGTTGGTGAATGCTTTGCCCAGTGTCCGCAGCCGTTGGGCCGCGACTCGTGAGGCCGGTTGCAGGGCGTCCAGCATGTGGCTGTAATCTGAGTAGACTACGATGCTCATCGGTTCGGTGAGCTCGACCCCCAGGATCGGCGCCATGAATTCGTAGGTGCCCGCCGCTACGTTCAGCACGGCGTTGGCGCGAGTTTCCGACTGATCGTTGTGGTGGTAGTAATAGACGTTGATCAGCCCTGCTGATGCGGTTTGCCAGTCAAGCCCGGTGTTCAGATACACAACCGATTGCGGCGCGGTTTCCGTGCTGGCCCCGTCTGCCGTGAGAATTTGAAAATAGTAGGACAGGTGGGTGCCGGTGGGGATGTATTCGTTGGCGGTCTTGCTTCTGAATAAGACCTCTCCAGAGATGGATTGCCCCGGCTCAAATTCCACGCTGCGGTAGCTGCTGCGGTTGGACTGACCCAGCTTCCGCACGTACACCCGAATTTCTTCAATCCGGCTCTCGCTGCTGGCAGAGATGTGGAACCGCAAACCATCCGGGAACTGATTCTCGACGCCATGCTCATTTATCGAAACATTGCTTTGGGCTGACGCGAAGCCAGGTGGCACGGCCCAAATCGCCGCGCATGCTGCCAGGAACAAAAACAGGGGAACTACAGGTAAAAATTTCAAAGGACAATGCCTCGCGGGAATGGGCGCCTGATTGGTGCACGTAATACGATAACGGACACGCGGTCGGTTCTTGACCGACGATGCGAGCCGCCCTACAATCTTATCGTTGCGACCACTAATCGGATACCCCGAACCTGGCTCCGCTAACGACTAATCTCCACCCACTCACGGTTGTATTTTATGCCCATCAGAGTTGGCCGCGTGCCTTATTTGGAAGCCGAACCGTTCTATTTCGATATGGAGCGCCGCGGCATGGAACTGAGCGTCACTACCCCCCGTCAATTGGGAGACGCCTTGGCCAACGGAGATCTTGACGCTGGCCCGGTCCACCTCGCGGATGCGTTCCGCCTGGAGGCAGATTTCGAACCGGTCAGCGGGTTTTGCATCGCGTCGGTAAGCCGCGCCAACAGCGTGCTGTTGTATTCTCAAAGCACGCTGGAAGAACTGGGCGGCGTAACGATCGGCGTTTCCGACGAAGACGTTACTGCCACGCGCCTCCTTGAGGTGCTTTTGCGCCAGAAATACGGTGTGGAACCCGGTGAGTTCGCTCCCCGCCCCGGTGATGTCAACAGCCCCAACGAGTCCTTCGACGCTTTCTTGCTCATCGGCAACCGCGCGTTGCGCCGTCGGCGTGGCATCAGGGGAATCACTCACCGGTTTGACCTTGGCGAAGAGTGGATGAACTGGACCAACCTGCCCTTTGTGTTCAGCCGGTGGGTAATGCGGAAGTCATTGGAAGACCGCGAAAAAGCCCTCATCGAGGACGCCCTCTACGTGGGTCTCGAAGAAGGCGTAGACGGCCTATATCATTTGAACGAGCCTCGTAATGAGCTGCTGATGTTGCCGCGGGACGTGCGTGAATTGCATTCGTGCAGGCTACGCTGTGTCATACGTTGGTCGCTCCGAGCAGTTGAAAGCTACGACCGGTCCGCGCGTGCTGCAGCATTGGACGGCTAACATTCGTTTGCAATCCCGCGTGGTTAGTTGCGTGGCAATGGTTCTAACGCGTCGCAACGGTCGCAGTCGCAAGGTTATGGTTAGGTAAGCGAGAGGTCGCTTTTGTTGTGCAGCGCGTCCACCGGTCGGCCGGCGTTTATCTGCGACTACTCCCCGCCGCGATCCGGCCGCGCGTGCGACATTCCCTCACCGCCGGCGGATGCTGACTTCATCTCGGTGGCCTACAACCCCGGGCGCGCGGTTCGCGTCAACTCGGTGGCATTGGCCGCCTCGCTGCAAAGCCGCCACAACGTTCAACCATTTCACCCTGGCGTACGCGGCTATGAACGGCTGGCGTTGCACAATCGATGCTGCAGGGAGCCCAGGTTCTGGCGTTGGAATAGTGTCTCAGCGTGGTGTGCCGGAGACCCTTTCGGCCCGTCAGACACCGCTCCCTCCGTTGCGTCCAAGATTACCGTACCCACGGATTGATTGACGCAATAGGCGACCTGGAACGCGGCGTTGACTACCGCCAGCGCCACATGCTGCGCTCCACCGACTTTGCATCAGGTCATTCTCATAAGCTAGACTCTGAAGAAATATTCGAAACCACGCGCCGCTTCCCCTCCCGCGCCACGCGACTTGGGCGTGCAGTATGGGAGATGCAGCGAGGCGCGGTTTGCCGCTCGCAAAGAAGTCGCCGCGGGA